CCAACCAGGAGGTGACAGGCATCTGCAAAGAGAGAGCTGACAGCCTGAAGGAGAGAAAGCATTTCTGTTTTAAGGGAAATGTGAGGCAGAGGAGGGGCTGGCTGAGAGAGGGTGTGTGTGTCTGAGGTGGAGTTTCTGCTTGGAAAAATGGAGAGACAGGGTGAAATTGAAAACCTTTGAGTGTGTGCAGCTAGGAGTAGTCAATGACAAGTGTGCACACTTACATGGGAAGGTGCACATGTGTGCAGTTGTACATGAGAGAACACTCTAGAACACATATGTGAGAGGGAAGAGTGAGAGCATTGTGAGAGCATAAGAATGCATGTGAGAGTGTGGATGACATGGAATGGTTTTGAGGTTTATTCACCAAACTTCTGAAAGAAGACTTCCAACCACAGAGAAAACACTATTTTGAAGACATGATTGTGATCCAGTGAGTGTGGGAAATACTTCTGAGCAGGTTTAATTATTTTCCTGATCTAAATATGAGGAGCTTTTGCATTTGTGAGCAAAAGGTATATGACACCAGCTGTGTTCATTTCTTAAGGATTAAAATTACTGCCCAGTGTTTGGTTTTAAAAAATCTGCCCTCATTGCAAATCAACAGTCATCAACAATGATAATGTTCCAGATCTTACTCAGAATAATATTAAAACAATATGTCATCCATACTAATAAAAATGAAGCCATTCCCCCAGGATAAATTGTTCTCCTTTTTACGTTGTAAACTGTCAAAGTCATCAATAACAATCTCATATGCCAGAATTACATCAAAATCTGTTTATGTTAAAGAGGAGAAGTGGGATGTGAATAAGGAGATAGGAGGGACCATCCTATCAGAAGCCCCTCCTGGGAGATTCTCATCCAGAACTGAGCTGCAGTGGAAGCAGGTGGAGGCCACAGGAGAACCAGAGGACTTGAAGTGAGTCCAATCTTATGGAATTTCTTGTTCACGTCTCAGAGTTCTACAAAGATCAGATATGATGAGAAAGGTCCTAGGAATGGAGTGATGTATGAATTCAGCAAGTGCTGCCTGAGGCCAGCTCAATGCCAGCACAGTGTGTGCACTCAGGGACCCCGGACTGGATGCTCTGCCCCAGGAGCAGTAGACAGACTTCAATTTTTATACACAGGCTGGAGAAGTGACAGTGTCTTCCTTCTCTTTAGTCATCACAGCTTGACAGACTCCACAAGATGATGAACTGTGTTCTCCCACTGACTTATTCAACCTCTCACGTTTGTTACCAAACCAGGGTTTTTTTGCCCACCGTATGATAATGCCAATTACTAAGATGATGAGTTTGCAAAGAGAAAGGATTTAGTCACAAAGCAGCCAAGCAAGGAGATGGGAGAACTGGTCTCAAATCCACCTCCCAGAAAAATGGATATTAGGGAAATTTATGTGATAAAGGGACAGGGTGGTCTCAAGTGTGGAAATAGATGATTGGAGGTGAGGAGAAGTGAGGTAATGATGATTTGTGCAAGCATAGTCAGGCTTCGTGGCTCTTTATAGGATGCATGTTCACAAAATGGCTGCATTACCATGATCTGAGGGTGGAGTTTTTAGCTCCTTGACCTCAAATGTTCACCTGTCAGTCATCCAGGCAGGCTCTATCGATGAGTGGGTGGTCTTAACTAGCCTGAACTGGACAAGGTGTCAACTCTCAGTTCCTGAAAAACTCAAGCACCTGTTACCATTTTGACCCAGGTGTCAGAGTTGTTATCTATAGAGTGGGTTTTAGTAATGCATTATCCTACTACTTTTGCAAACCAACAACTGAGTGTAGTTAAAGCAAGTTGGCGCCTGGTTTCAGTCCACCTTTGTTTTGGTTCATTCCTCAAGCTTGAGAGATTTGAGGCAATGACTGCTCTAGCTAATTCCTGCTGGTAAGGTGTATAGGCCTAATAAGGACTCGAGCAATGAAATTGTTTAGCACTCCTTTGGAAATATTCTCTTTTTCCCAATTTTGGGTAGCCATTTTGCATTATTAGAATTTTTGCACCTCCTTCAACAGTCTTAGTACAACATCTAAAAGCACATTGTATATTCAAATATACAGGCAGAGGATAAGAAGTATAGATAACCCAAATTTTAATAAGTCCCTGAAGAATGAACCTAATGCTTGGGGAATCCAAGAGAACAGTCCTGAAAACCACTCTAGACTCTGCCATCTCTGGGGATATTTGCTGTAGCCAGGTAGCTTGTTGTCTGATTGGGTAGGTGGCCCAGCTGGACTCTGTACATTACAGGTTTATAGGTTACATTTTTAATTTATAAGGGAGAGAGGTCAATGACATTATAAACCAAATTATCGAGGGTTCCCAATGGTCATGCACTGAATAAGTTTTGGGAGGACATATGCAACATCTAGAGAGATTTCTTGCCTTTGCCAATGTCTGATATTCTAATCATCAAATTTTTATTCCAGGCTTGGGTTTCAAAGTCAACAAGGAACATAACAGAAAAGGAACATAACAGAAAAGGAACAAAGGTCTTTATCTTACTGAAGCCATAATAGAATATATTGATTAGGTTTACACAAGAAGTGGTTTAGCCCCTTGGATAGTACACAATAAATCATAAGCAAGTGGGAAGTTAAGAAAAGACAAGAAAATAGTCCAATAAGTAAGGTAAGAACCTGAGAGTCATTCATCACCTATCTTTAGGAGACCATCTTATGAACAGAAGCTTGAGGTCTGTCAGGGGTCACTTGTCCATTCAAAGAAGTCAGTGTCTGGAATATGAAGCCAGTCAAGATTAGGATGATCTTGGCTACAATGTTTTTCCATGGTGTGGTTCCCATTTCCCATGGAGTTCTGTTATATGGGATATGGTGGGTCTGAGAATTCTTGTGGGACTGGCTTAACTCGAGTATAGTGGACCCATGGCCTAATTCCTTCCAGCTTTGTTGAGGAGTGGGTTATCAGCAACACTTCATAGGGCCCAGTCCAGTGGGTGGGGAGTTAGTCCTCTGAATGCTTGTTTCTCCAGGACTAATAAGACCCAGCCTCCAGGACCAAAGGTGATGTAGAGGAACATCTGACAGTCTAGTTCCTTAATTCAACTTCCCTCTGGAACTTCTCCTGGATCATCTCTAGAATACAGAAAGGGTCTCCCAAAGTTAGGCCTACACTGTGTAAGCAAGTAACCAGGTAAGCATTTCTAGAGAAACAAAAAGAAAAACAAGGTTAATGGTTAGAACAAATTATAAACCAGTTCCTGAGCCCAGGGGATGGCCAGTCAAGAAGATTTCTAGATGTCAGGGTCAAAGCATGTTTTGAACTTTGAAATCTCTCAGATAATGTCAGTGGATGTCCAGGTATCTTTTCGCGTGGCTTACACAGCAGCAGGCACGCTATCACAGTGATTGCTCTTCAGTTTTTATCAAGCCGTCCAGCTTCATTTTGTGGGGCTTCAGGAAAAAGTGTGGTTTCAGTTCTCAATGATTCCAAATGAAAATTATGGAAAAAACTGAAAATGTTAGTTTGAAGATTTGTAGCCAGGTGTTTCAAGAGACTAGAAGATTTCAGGCTCCAGTCCAGTTTACAGATAGAAAACAAAAACCTCAAGGACAATTAACAGAACTACAATCTAATTTCCATAAATATATATTACGGTTTTTATTGAAACATGTTTTCTCTCTAAAATAATCCTCATTTTTACCAAAGACTGCCAAATTAAAACTCAGTTTCTAAAGTAAGTCCAGTTTCAATAAACTTGCCCCAATTATTTACATAAGTACAGCAAGAATAGCAATTGATCATATAGACTCTTTTAAATCTGCTTTGCTGGAACTTTCAATCTCAGACTGAACTTTAAAGCCTCTTGTGGCCAGGAAAGCCAAGCCAAGGGCCTGTCCTCAGACTCTGCCTGTGATAAATATAGATTTGGGTGAATTCCTCTTTTCTCTTGAGGAATTCCCCAAAATATCCTGAGGTTCTTCGCACCTGCCAGGGAAGTGACTTTCTTTATTCACCTGGTAAGATTGCTGGGAACCCTGTAAGCAAGGTACCAGGCCAATATTTCTATGTGACTTTATTCATTCCATAAAGTCAACCTTTGTTCCTTAAACCTGTCTGGTCATACCCGAGTCCATGCATGTCTCTCTGAAATATGACATTACAGTGAAAGCCTAGGTAATATAACCAATGTTTCCAAATGTGGCCTGTTATAAGGAGAACAGATTTGCATTGAACTTATGCAAACAACTATATTGCCATGAAAATAAGAATACTCACTCATCAAGGGTTTTTAAATTTTGGAGGGTTAGGTATGGAGAAAAAGATAAATGTTTTAATTCTGCTTACAAATGTATAATTTACCAAATTGCTGTTAAGTCATAGTTAGCAAACGTCGGAGTAATGAGAGCGGGTGGCTATAGTCCATGCCCCTTGGTTTGAGGGCGGACAGCTGTGGTGCCATTCACATCTCAGAGCCCCTGTAGGATCAGGCTGAGATTAGGCTTCAGCTGAAACCACCTCCTTGATCAAGCTGCTTCTGCTGCCCTATCCACCTTTCTCAATGTTCCATGAATGTTTATGTGCATTTGATATGAATGTATGTTTCTCAGTTATTGAGTGAAACTTAGTACATACACACCTACATTTTTCTGTTTATATAGGACTTGTTTCTTCATCATTTATAAAATCAATAAATCTATTTGGTCACATTGAAATTTTCATTTAATTGATAACCTCTGTTACACAGTCAGTTGATCCTACAGAAAATAAAAGGGAAAACATTTGGAAATTGATCTGAAAGTTCAGAACATATTAATTGGAGCAAATTTAGACACATCCCAAGACAAACAACCATGACATATGAAATATTTGAAATGTAATATTCCATAATAAATATAACTAATTAGTGTTCATGATTCATGTACTGTGCCATATTCTTGTTGCTACACTTTTGTACTATATGTGTAACAAGTGGAAATGTTCTTAGCTTGGTGATGAGCACACAGGAATTTTCTATGAATTTGCCTGCAGTCAGAGGTTCATTTTCCTTGCCCAGGTCTCATTTGAGGACTAGCCATGCCTGGATTCGTCACAGGACAGATTCTCAGGAAGCTCTGGTCATCCTTAATTGGATTTGCAGGAGCAAAAAATGGACGCAGAGGCTCTGCAGCAGAAATTTTAGTGAACATAAAAATATGGGATCCATCATTAACGTAATAAAAGGAAATGATCCCAATATCCATATCCAGGAAAACCCCTACTCGATGTAACCTAGGGCTCACTGAGAGAACAGTAAAAGGCATAGAGCTGGCTGAGAAGAGATCTTCGTTGTTCAACCCCACAGTCCACAAGCCAAGTTCTGAAGACAATAGAATTACTCCTGTTGACTAACAGATTCTCTGCAAATGCCCATATCCCATTCTTTGCTTCTCCCCAGGTCCACCTCCCAGTAATGGCGGCCAGACATGAACCGAGGGGAGCCCAGGGCACAAATTGCATAGATGAATCTCTCAGCACGGGTCCTCCAATACTGTTGGAAATACCCACAGCAGACACTCCTCAGGCCCTCAGAAATGGTGAGGTGGTTGTTGGCTGTGTCAACATCCAACGTCATATCCATTGTGGGCAAAAACATAAGCAAATCAGCAAGTACATAGGCTACACACCACTCTTCATGTCTGCTGCAAAGGCCCAACTATCTCATTCACTTTCTTTCTTTAACTCTAAAGTTCTTTCCTAATCCCTGGGGAAACTTCCCTGGTGCCTTGATTAGATCAACTTTTATATGTAGAATGAATGATTATAGTTGAAACAAGTCCTTATTTATCATAGGTCTTCTCTACATTAAGTTATTTGATTTTTTCATTGAATTTTTTTCTTCCCCATATTACATAATATACATGAAAAAAGAGACCATGACCGTTGTTTGTTCTCAAATTAGACAAAGTAACACAGATTCTGTCAAAATAAGGCAAGAAATAAACATTTGGAAAGATGGAAAAAATTTTACTTATGAACGATTAAAATATTAACATTTTTCTTTTGCAATTACCTTCCTCATTTAATGTTCTTGAATAGGAAATTGCATTCAATGGCTTTTATTTTCTTTCCTAGAGTTGTAATAAAATATTAAGAAGAGGGGGCCGGCCCGTGGCTTAGCGGTTAAGTGCGCACGCTTCGCTACTGGTGGCCCGGTTCGGATCCCAGGCGCGCACGGAAGCACCGCTTGTCCGGCCGTGCTGAGGCGGCGTCCCGCATGCAGCCACTAGAGGGATGTGCAGCTACGACATACAACCATCTACTGGGGCCTTGGGGAGAAAAAGGGAAAAAAAAGGAGGAGGATTGGCAATAGATGTTAGCTCAAGGCCAGTCTTCCTCAGCAAAAAAAAAACAAAAACAAGAGGATTGGCATGGATGTTAGCTCAGGGCTGATCTTCCTAAAAAGAAAAAAGAAAAGAAAGAAGAAGAAACGCTAGGAGCCCTGAGATGAGATGGGTAACTCTGGACAGTCAAGATAGAGGAAGGGAATCCCATGGACCTGAGTAGGGATGTGCTGGGATCTTGGCAGCAACTTAGACCCAGAACTTAATGGGGCAGTGCTCAGAGGGGCAAATTGGAGAAGAATGACTGTGTGTATTGGCAACATCTCCAAGTAACCCTAATTGTGAGGATGGGTGCAGAGAGCTGCCTGTCCTAACATGACCACGTGGCTCGAGCCAATGGAGCCGCAGAAATCAACCCTCTGGACCAAAGACCAATTACTTCGCCTGACTCCCTTATAACATGGCTCTCTGGGAGATGCTTAGACTTTCTGACCATTGGAGAGGAATTGTCAAGACTTGTCAAGTGTCTGGGACAGGTTTCACCATCCCTAATTCAAGTTTGCATGGAGCAAGAAATAAACTCACTTAGAAAACAAACTAATTTCTTTCTTTCACAATGAGCCTGGGAGGTCTGGTCTGGTGTCCTGACTTTAGCACATTAGACTTGCAGCTGAGCTGTGGTAATTCAACTTGACTTAGAGTTGTGAGACTGAATCAGGCATGATTTCTCTAAGTTACAGGTCAGGGAGGGAAGAACATGCTGCAGTGCTCAGGTGCCGAGTCTGCAGAGGACCTCAACGTACAGCATAACCACCTGCACTCTTACAACCATTTGCCTGGGGCTTCAGCTCTAGAAACATTCATTGCCCACACTCACTGTGGATTAGAATCACCTGGGGGCTTTTAAACTTTGCAGATTCCTGGGCCTCACCATCAGAGTGGGTCAGTTTCAGTGGCCTCAGGGCCTTGGTACTCAAAGTGTGGCCCATGAACTAGCAGCCTCAGCATGACCAGAGCTCTTGTCAAAAATCCTGATTCACAGGCCGGCCCAGTGCAATGACTCAGAATCTACATTTGAATAAGATCCACAGGGATTTAAATACATTTGAGAATCACCGTTCTAGGCCAGTGTTACCCAAGAAACACAATGTGAGCCCCCTGTGTACTTTAAATTTTCTTACAAATACATTAAAATAGTAGTAATAAGAATCAGGTATAATTGATTTTAATAATACATTTTATTTAATCCAGTATTTCCAAAGTCTGATTGGTACTTGTTTTAATAACCAAGTTTCAAGTCATCAGTAGGTACCAGTGGCTATTGGAAATATTGGATAGCACAGGTCTAGGGCATGACTTAAATATTACGTTTTCTTAAAAATCTGCAGATGGTTCTAATCTATACTTACAGGTGCAAATAACTTTTGCTTTGAAAGAATAAAACCTTCAGGTATTAGAATTCAGCTAAGGCTGTTACTTAATGGAGAGTTTTTGAAAAGTTGCTTTTTCCAGGGCCCTTTATGGGTTGGGGCAGGTTGTACAGATGCCTTACCTTGGAACTTCCTCATCCTTGGCTTCATCTGGAGAACAGCTCTCAGCTGGGGCTCTAATTCCTTGATCTTTGAAACCAGTGCCCCCAGCTGGCTACTGGGCCTGATGTCCTTCTTCTGAGAGACCAGGGAGCAGAAGAGGCACAATAAAGTCTCCTCATCAGGCTCCTTGTGCAGTGAATTGATGCACTGGAGGCAGCAGATATACCTACATTGCAGGTACATGGGTTTTTCAGGATAAATCATGCAGCCATAACATCTACTTGCTTCCCTAAAGTGTTCAGCCATGGTCACTCTCTGGGGAATAACATGCATGATATTGGAATTTCCGTGAGTTGCGTGGATATTAGTCTTTGGGAGACTTTCATCTTTACATGAATAGTGATTTGCAGTCACTGCTATTAGGTAATAAAGACACAACATGTGTATAAATACAACTGACTCACGGCCCTGAACTCCTGATACTTAAAATGCTGGTAGGAATGAAGGACATGATTCAGCTTTGCGCTTTAAGTTAGGTGGTGAGAGGGTCTATATTTTACCTAATCTGTCCAATATGGTGGCCACCAGCCACAAGTGGCTATTGAGCACCTGAGGTGGGCTTATCCACATAGATATGTGCTGTGAGTATAAGATGCACACTGATTTTGAAGATATAATGAGAAAAAGAGAATAAACTATTTCACTGAGAACTTTCAAAAATTGAATACATGTTGAAATGATTACATTTTACCTTTAAAATTAGGTTTGTTTGGGGCCAGCCCCGTGGCCTGGCGGTTAAGTGCGTTAAGTGCGTGTGCTCCACTGCTGGCCGCCCGGGTTCGGAACCCCGGGCGCGCACTGACGAACCGCTTCTCTGGCCATGCTGAGGCCGTGTCCCACATACAGCAACTAGAAGGATGTGCAACTATGACATACAACTATCTACTGGGCCTTTGGGGGAAAAATAAAATTATTAAAAAAAAATAGGTTTGTTTGATTTTACTTTGTGTGGCTACTAAAAAGTAAATTTATAATGACATATGTGGGTCACCTCATATTTCTACTGGACAGTGGTACTCTCAACCCAGAAACTCTCCACCTCCTCCAGCTGTCCACCTTGCATGTGGCAAAAACCCACAGCAGAACTTGAGAGGTGGCAAGTCCATGACCGAAATCCCATTCACCATCTCAAAGAGTTTACCAAGCTCTGATTTGACTCAGGATAGAGAAGACTACATTATTTCTCCAAACTGGGTATTGAACATCTAAGTTCTGCCCACTGCTCCCATCAGAGGTCCCTGTGTCCCTAGGAGCACACACTGTGCTGGCATTGAGTTGGCCTCAAGACAATACTTGCTGAAATTAATGAGTTACTCAAGTTAGAGACCTTGCTTTCTTATCTGTCTTTTGTAGAAATTTGAGAAGTAAAAATGAAATCTCATAAGATTGAGATCACCTCTCCTCCCCTAGGTCCTCTTCTGGCCTCCAGCTGCTTGTGCTGACGGCTCAGTTCTGGAGTGAGATCCACCTACAGGGGCTTTTGTTGAACAGGGTGGCTCCTCCCACCTCACTCACATCCCACCTCTCCTCTTTAATCCAATCACGTTTTGATTCAGTTCCAGCATTAGTGAGATGTTTCTCATGTAATAGAGAGTTAACAACAAAGAAGATAATTGTATCATGAAAGTGTTAATTTTTAACTAAAATGAACAAAATATCACCATATGATCGTCCTAGATTATGTCTTGAATGTTGTCTGTTGATGATAAGAACTTGAATTAAGATTGAAACTAAAAAAAAAAAGTCACCATTCCTAATCCTTCTAAAACGAATGGGAGTAGTTTCCAATAGTTTTTGGTCATGACAGTAAAGTCTCCCATTTTGATCAAGAAAATTAATTAAATGTACTTAGAAGTCTGTCTTAAAATCACACTCACTGGACCATAGGCACTTCTTGAGAAGAGTGTTTTCCCACAAATGTGAAGATCCTTGTTCAAAAGTTTGGTAAATAAATCCCCAAACTGTTCCCTGACAATCAGTCATCTGGTGAAGGCATTGTTTTTTGTTAGAGAATCAAAGATAAAATATATTTTTATAATATTACTATTTCTTTACATCACAACATTTATAAAATGAGATTTAAAAAAAAAAACTTGTTCAAGAAATGTTCCTCATGGTTATAGGATGACTCATTGGTGATTAGGGTTTAGGAGGCGGAATAAAATTCAGAAATAGTGGGAATTGGAAGGGGTTAGATTAGATTTAGGTGATTAAGTTAAATAGGCTTCCATTTAATCATTCCACAGTCATCCTTTGATGCTGTTTGCTGGATACTCGGTCATTTCACGTCCAAGCAGAGGCTCATTCCTGGCTCTTTTTGACCGTTTATCACATTAAGGGGAATTGAAAATCACACACGTATTTGTAGAATATTTTTTATGTCTTATCCTATTATTTTAATACACTTTAAATTAATTTATTTTACAACTCCTTCTAGAATGTTTTCATATTTCTGGCAGTAGGTATTCTCATGTTTGTGGTTTCACTGACTCTTGCTCATGAAGGATTGATTCCTACTGAGTGTTCCATTTGCCTCTTTTGAGCTGACAAAGAGCAGGGATTATATTCTCTTTGGGAACACCAGGTGACCCCTGCAGGGGAAAAAGCCAACACTTGTAAATTGATCTGCCTCTATTAGGTTCTCCCAAATTATCTTCAGCCTGGAAAGGCACGTATGGTAATATGTTGGGTAGGAACTCTTTCATTAAAGAGAAGAAAAGAGAAAGTTAGTTTTCCCAGCCCACTGGAGGGGCTGACCTTGGGTGTTGTAGTAGTATTTTTTTCAGCTGGAACTTTGGACAAGGAGGAGCTGGCTGCCTTCCCCTGGGCAGTGGGGCACTCTCCCTGCTCACTGTCATTGGTAGTCCAGTGTCTTGATTCTCCTCTGTTTGAGGGACTCTGCCTTCCAATATCCCACCTAGTGGGGACAAATTCTCCACCTCCTGTCCCTGCACGGTGTCATGGTACCCAAGTTTCCATGTGCATTTGCAACTTGTGGAGTTAATTGGACATTCAACTCCAGCGGGTGTCAGGACGCCGTTTCGCTGACTTTACTGAAAGTGTATCTCTCTGTAATTTAGTATATATCATCTGTCTTCAGTAGTGTTACGTGACTCTTCTTAAATAATATCTTGGTCTTAAATAAAATCTCATTCTTACAGTTTTTACATTTTAAAGGCCTTAGTAGTCTGGAACTCTAAGGAAAACTCTAAAGAAAATCTTAAATTGCTTTCATTCTATCTCTGGCACAAGGTCCTGTCTTGGGAATTGAATATTAAAATGGCAAAAATATTGTGTCAATAGTAAAATACAATTCTTTTGGATTTTTCTTACTAATTGCTGAAATAGTTTTCCAAATCATTGATATATTGATGGTAACATAATTTAAGAATCACCATGTGTAACCATTCCTTTGTTTTTTTTTTTTTTTTAAAGATTTTATTTATTCATTTTTTTCCCCCCAAAGCCCCAGTAGATAGTTGTATGTCATAGGTTCGCATCCTTCTAGTTGCCGTACGTGGGACTCGGCCTCGGGTTGGAC